CATCATTGTTAGTAATCACAGATAGTATTCAATTAGCCAGGAGTGCGCTTCAGCATTTCTTAGATAAGGAATAGTGATCGAGTTCTGCTAAAATTAAGATCAGGGATGATTTTATAAAATGTCGGTTTACTCTGTAGCTGTGCCTATTATGTAGAAAACGTAAAAATGCTTTTTGACAGAACAATGCACGGACAATTGAAATTACTTATTATTTTGAAGATCAGTCAGTGGCGTAACACATACTTTTTATAAAAGGTATCGATAAGTGCGGAATGCACGCCACTGGCTTTTTCTGTCAAGCTGAGGTTTTGTGTATTAGTACTAGTGCACTGTGGTATTCACCACATAAAATTTGAGAACAATTAGTTTATAACTCCAAGAGATATTAACAAAAAATGAAAAAATAAATTCAACTTCAACACCCTGTATTTCGGAAAGGGTTCAGATTTCGAAATAAGTTTATATAGCAAAGTCCCTTTAATTTTATCGGATCTATCTTTTCCTGAATTTTTTCAGAATAAAAATGGGACACCCTGTATATTAACTTTTAATACATCTCCTCTTTCCTTTAATTTCTACTTTGGTGTGTTTAAACACCTTTTTTCTTTAAGAAACCAATTAAAGTATTTATTACATTCAACTGACGGCCAAAATACATATAAATACTGATGCATTTATCCAAAGCTCAAAAATTCTAGCTGTTCACGTTAATTAAGCACTAAACTTGAACCTTGGGAGGCGAGAGGACTTGAGTTAATCAATTAGCAAGGATCAAGTATCTAGAGAGGTAGGTATATTGATTTTCAGTTAATATGAGATTTTCAAACTTAGAGTTAATGCATTAATTAGAAAGTTTTGCTTGTTTTTGCGGTAATTAACTGAAGATTATTTAGTACATATTGAAATCAATACATTTTAGTTGATGTATTGAGGAAAAAGATCGTATCCACAATCCAAAATGGAAATTACAGAAGAACAAAAACACTTTCAGTTAACAAGTTTTTAATAAAAAAAAAATCTGTTACATAATATCAAAAATAGGTCAAAATGTTTTAAGCATGTTTTGAAAATCTCAAAATTCTGAATTTATATAGTAATTTTAAAAATTGTATCGGAAACACCATCAGACTTCTGAACCTTTTGATGTGTAGATCTGCATTATCGATATTTATAAAAAAAAATTAGTTAAACTTTTTCCAAGTTAACTCCGAAGTACGAGAAAAGTGTTGAGTAAGAGTTTACACTCTCCTCACCTGAAAAATTCGGCATGGATGCAAACAGCACCCCGACCTCGGCATAGCTCTGCGAGTACAGCTCGTCGTGCTGGCGCTTCCGGTTGCCCATGAAGTGAGCCGCCACATGCGGCGGCAGGATGTTGTAGACGAGGGCCTCGTTGCGCCGCCTCATGTCCTCCGCACAGTCGCGCTGCTCCTTCACCTCGCACCGCCACAGGAAGAGCACCCTGGCTACCTGCTCCATCTGAAATAGCCGGATACGGGAGTGGGGAGTGGTTTTTTTGATTAATGGTCACTTACGTGCCTGGCGAGGAAGGCAAGTGCTAGCGTGGCGATTAGAAGGAGACCGGAAAGGCTGAACTTTCTCTCGGTTAGGCTACAACACATAAACAAATTTATTTTTTCTACTGAATAAATGAATCTTTTGTGAGTCATTTTGATCGCAAAAAGTGTATCTTTATTGCATTATACAATAAAGAATACATTGATATTACTATGGCGTGATAATATACAGGGTAATGTAGATGTGCACTATAACAAAAAGTATGGTAAAATTCCTCGAACTTTCCATGGTTGCTATGGAATGTTCAAGTAAAATTGATGTAACACTTTTGTAATATTAAACAAAACCGTTAAAATATACAGCGTGTCCCACTAGTGCGGGAAAGTCCAATATCTTATGTTAAAATGAGGAATATATGGATTTTTCTTTTTACTGTGTTGTCACATTTCTCGGAATGTACAAATTAAAAATATATTCAACTATACAGGTTGTTCCACTTTTCCTGGCCAGACACAAACTTTGTTTTTTTAAATGGAAACACACATTTTTTATATTTTTTTCGGATTCTACATAAAAAATAAAGGGTACTTTGTGTAGAATAGTTCTATCCAAATATTCACAGTTTTTGAGATATCTCGCTTGAAAGGTTTTTCTAGTCGATATTGGCTGCTTACATTTTCTGATACTGACAGGTTATACTAATAGCTANTATAAAATAAATAAATAAAAAAAAAATACTCATTGACTGTTGACAGGAGATATAGGAAATGCGTATATTTATTTATTTATTTTTAACGACCACATTACATACAATAAAAGTATATTTGAAGTCACTGTTACATTAAATGATCATTGTTAGAATTCAACAGTTGAAATAATCACTTACGCTATAAAAACATTTATCCAATAAAAAGTTTTTACTTAACCTACGAAATTTATTAAAACTTAAACTAGTAACATTAACACCATTAAAACATTTTACGAAGTGGTTATATAATTTAATATTTAATTTATTAATCTGAGTAGTACGGATCCTAGAAAACGATAAAATCAAATTTTCCGCATTTCTGGTATTATATGAATGCACGTCTGAATGTTTTGAAATTTTATCTAGTCCACGGTATATCTGCAGCAGAGACTGAAAAATATATATACTTGGTAGAGGCATAATACGAATTTTTTTAAACAGTGGTAAGCAAGGGGTTCCATAAGGGGCACCCTCGATAAAACGGACCGCTGCATTTTGTAAAACGAATAGCTTACTCGCAGCTTTGAGTTGCCCCATAACGTAATACCATATGTTAAGTGACTGTGAATATACCGTAATACGCTTTTAGGTAAATTTAATGGTTCGTTAAATGGTAAAAATTAAATTTTTTATTATAATGGATATACGATATACCTACCTTGCAAAAAACCTAACCTCAAAAAATTTAAGTCAATGGAAGAGATACTAACTAGCGACCTCTAGCTAAATTTCAATGCAATACATTCAGTTTGGAAAAGATATAACTAAAATTTGATATTAAAGAATCTTTGATGCCATATAATTCAAAAACAAAGAGCAATAGGCTCATGGTCCGTAGAAAATCCTCTTATTTCTTAATATTTTGTCTACACTAATTTTTAGATCACGTGGTATACAGAATATTACGAATTGAGCACGCCAAACTTATCCTAGTGATAGAATACCTCAGAATTAAAAAAAAGTTTATACTACATAATTCATAGAACACTTTGTTTTCGAGTTTGAAGTTAAAAAAAAGTTGAATAAATTAAAAATTGCTCCAAAACTATTCGTTTCACAAAAAATAGGAGCTTTTTATGGGAAATTAAATTAAAAATAATGTAATTATATTTTACCTAAAAAACTTCCCTAAAAAACTTAAAATTGATATGCCCATGATACGTTTAGCTTCTAGTGGTTACATAGTATAAGTTTCGATAAAAAAAATCTATTTTTCCAGATTTTGAGTGAAACTAAGTGTTTTGGAGATATTTTCGATTAAATTTAAACAGAAAAATTTCCCAAAAAGGGCTCGTATTTGTAATAAATTCGATCTATTCTAGGATTTAGGATCGTTTTATGCTGGTTAACTGTATTACCGCTATTTAGTGCAAGTTAAGGAAAACCTGAGAAAATTCATCCAACAGAAAAAAGATCAGACACCGTCTGCTTCAAAACAATTTAAAATACTTTAAATATTTTACTATCATGCAAATAGCTCGGCATGTATAAATAAAAGTATAATTTTTCTATTTAAAAACTAAGAAATATACTGAAATCGGTTTCGATTTCTTAAAAAAAAAAAAAAGAAAGAAAAAAAAAAAAGGGGGAACCAATAAAACAAACCACCCGAAAGCAACAAAAAAAAAACAAAAAAAATAATGAGTATATTAATATCGTGCCAAAATGTCAAATAAAACTGTTATTTTTACCACCACCTAAAAGAAGCTTCTTAGAATTGGACAAGGATTCTACGATTTCATTTTTTCCAAACATCAGTCTTTAGAAATAAATATTTCCTCACTATAATAAAAATCAGGTTTACTTAGGAACAAAAAATATTACTGTTATTATCTCTACATCCCAAAAGTTAAACACTAGACAAATGACCACGTGACAGCACCTCAGTAATGGGCAGCAATGTTATTATCGCGAGGAGGCACTATTAGCATTGGCTCTCTCAGAGTTCTTTTTACGCATAATATGGACAAAGAGGATACGAAAACTCCCGAATGCTTTCTCTATAAAACAGTTTTTGCTAGGACAAGAAAACTCCTTACTACGATAATGAAATAAAAACTAAAAAAAAATTCTAGTCACAATCAGTTATCAAGTTTTATTAAATTGTACTAAATGTTTTTTATAATCTTTTATTTTACTATATTGTGAAAGAAATGTATAGCTCCAGGTACTTATAGCAGTACAGCTGTATCAGTGAATGATAAGAGCAGTAGGTACTTACACAAATTTTTGTGATTTTAGTTAAAAATAAAAAGTATTTTCTTGTCAATTTTCTCAACGTTTCGTATATTTTGATTCAAACTGTTATAGTGGCCATCACTTTTGTGTGGACAGAAACACTCAATTTAAACTTACAACGCCAGAAATTTCAATTCCTATAATTAAAACTAAGGAGATTAACCGATCGGACGGCGACTCAAAATTACTTTTCGTTTTCCACCGAACGAATCCCGAGATCCAGATAATAATATAATCTCGTAACAGATTAGTAGGGTTGTTGGGGATTACCCATTTAATTAATATTATTTATTTACCTCATCCAACGCTTCATGGATTCCTCGCAGTTTAAAGCAGGCCCTAGCACTAAAATATTCACCAGACATTGTGCAGTCGATATTAATAACATCAGAAAGCTCTTCCACAAATAAGACAAGCACGCTGGCAGGGATGATGCTATCAATATTAATACGGTGAAGTAGCTGAAATAGGAAGGGTACAAGCAGGCGGCATCGATGTCTTCTATAGATGAACAGTTCTCGGATGTTTTCTTTAACTCGACGCATGTTATCTAAAACAATAACCAATAATATTCACTCAGTTATAAAAACAAATGATATGGTAATGTGGGACATAACCACTCTGCGAGCTAAGTGTCCCGCTCAGCGTTGAAATACACCCCCGATATTAGTAGGTCACTATTTGTCAGTAATGTTTTGTTCCAGTAGGCACTAAGTTGCAATGACATTTAAGATAGACGTATACCTTGTAGGTTATAGCCATAATTGGTCATATTGAGATCCTTTTTATTTTTCGCTTTAAATATTTCGACATCGCGAGAAAGGTAATCCCATCTAGAGACGTTAAACTAGAATTGAATAGAAACTTTATTGACACTGTCATATACAAAAACTGTACATTTTTTTGTCACAACTATTACACTAAAAGAGGACATTAATATTAAACAGTAACGAAAGAAACAAAATCATCAAGACTATAAAAACATTGCTCTAATAAAAAATTTTTAATGAACTTGTGGAAACTTCTCTGAGACATCGTCCTAAATTTAAAATTTTTAAAATGATTACTTAATCTATTATAAAGCTGAATCTGGACCCTGTTTCTCTTGGTAGTATCAATTCTAGAAAAGGGTTCCACAAGATTTAGTGCCTGTCTAGTATTGTGATCGTGAATGGATGAGTGAGTGGCCAGATTTTGGAGAGTCTTATACACATGCAGCAACGTTTCAAAAATATACAGGCTTGGAAGAGGCATAATCTCTAAACTCTTAAATAGGTCTTTACACAAAGCCCGGCGGTGCAGCCTTCCGCGCAGTAACGGAGTTACCTCATAACAGGACTCCATAATCAAAGTGACTATGAACAAGAGAAAAATACAAAATTTTCATAAATGCATCACTCAGCGAAGGCCTCAGCTGCCTCATAACGAAAATCTGCGATGCAAGCTTACAACAGAGAGAAACGACATGAGGTGCCCAGGATAAACCGGGATCTAAAGTAATATTCAGTAATTTCACATTATTAGACCTATCAGCTAATCTATCAGCTGTAAATGCAAATGTTGGGTTTTAATAAAATTCAATTTAAGTATTTTGAAGGAAACCAGGATTTAGCCTTAGATAGACACTCTCTACTCCTATCCACACCGCCACGTGTCAAAAGGGTCGTGTCGTCGGCAAAAATAATNATCTGAGTTTGCTGACCCCGGCAGTTGGAGACGTCCGCCTCCACTCGGCCTTTCCCCTACTATTGAGCTACCTGTGTCCATAGCTCGGTGGCCCGCACAAGGTGGTCGAACACGGGGAGTCGGCAACCCCGTGCAACCACTGCAGTTTCCCCAAAGTCCAGGGTCGATCTTTTCCTTTTTTTTTCTCTCTTTCTTATACTTCATCATCAGAGTCCGCCTTTGCGCGCGCCAGGCAGTTCTACTTCCACCCTTCACAGCTCTACATCTCCAATCGTTGGTCTTTACTGTCAAGGCACAACGATACCCAAAAATCCTTGCGGCTGTTTACTACAACCCAAGTTACAATTTACTCCCTAATTTTCTATTAAAAAAAAATTTCCAAAGAAAAATAAAATTCCCCAAAAAAAAACATTTACTGTTCGCGCAAAATACCTTCAGAACTAGATGCCCCGATAAGCTTACCACACTAAAGTGATTGATTGTAATAAAAGTAATCTAGTGATGAATTTCCGAGACGATTTACAACTAAGGTAACGGTCGTCAAAAAGTTACCAAAAAAGTCATATTTAAAAGATTTTGGCCACGCGAACAAGAATGGAAACAACGGAAATTATCAGTTATAATCAATCCTCTACGTTAAAATTCATGAATTTCCTCTAAGTTATACCCCGTTGACAGGTATGTAGTTATTGCCATGTGACTAATTAAAATTTTCCTAATGCTCGTGTCAATAAAAAAACACGCTGTATAAACTCGAAATACCCATGACTTGTGAAGTGTGGAAAGAACCCCTGCTGCGGCGTACCCTGTAATTACCTTAAACCTTTGCTCCCTCGCATTTAATATTTTTAATTTTCGTTACTTACAAATGACCCTCGTAAACATCGACACTATACTTACAATATATTAGCCACTGAACACTTGTTGCCTGTACAGGTTATCCGTCAACAAAAGAAAAATGCCACAATAGTCCCACCTATATTCGTTCACCCTGTATATTAGCATTTCATATTCTTGACATCGATCTGATACAAAATATGAATGGTTCTATCTCTGACGGACGCCTGTACCCTCTGGGCTACCTGAAACTTCAATTCGGCTGAAAAATTAACAAAGGTTTACCACTAGACTGTTATACACAGTATGAACAGCTGATTTGCTCGTATGCTCGTTTGACAAAACTTGATGGAACGCAATACGGGATATACAGACTATTATTTCAATTTATAACAGTTCTACGCCCTATCGTTACCTACATGTCGCGTACAAGCGCGATTTTCGTCTAAGAACATACGCGATTTCTCCACCCATACGGCCGTGGTGCGCTGATTGACATTTCTTTGCCTGAACCGCTTTTTAACCTACATATCGCCGATCATTTGCTGTAATTATTTATTCCTCTTTCTTGAATAATGTCAGTCCGGATTTGTTAGTACGATTTTTCCAGAAATTGTGGCCAGCAATTTCCTTCGGGTTAGCTCCACACTATTTTCATCGAGTTACTCATATTCGTTTCATCCATTTCTATCACCCACATTCATTTGATACCGGTATCCTACTATGCACAACATTCTCTCTTACACTTCATTACTTAAACAATTTTCTGACTCGAATGCATATTTACATGTTAACCTATGGACTTATTCTTACCCCACACCTGACACCATTTTTAGATGCCTACCAAGTTGTCGCTGAATTCGACCATGTTCGATCTTAGGGAGATGATGACAAACTGGGCGTTCTTAGTGCGTTCCTTAATGTAATGTCCGATGATGGACACGTTCTTGAAATCCAAAGCGGCATCGATTTCGTCCATGACGTACAAAGGGGAGGGCTTGTAATAATGAAGGGCAAACACTAAAGCCAACGAAGACAGAGTTTTCTCCCCTCCGGACAGATTGGAAATCTTCTTCCAGGATTTCTTGGGTGGCCTCACGTTCAACTGAACCCCTTCGGCGAACGGATCGTAGGTGTCGACCAATTCGAAATCGGCATCGCCCCCCAAAGTTATCATCTGGTACACTTCCTTCAGTTTCAATCTGATGATGTTATAACCTCTCAGGAATTCTTCTTTACGTTGCGTTCTCAGGTCGTCGTACCACTTCCTCATTTCCGTTCTCTTATTCGTGATCTCCTCCAACTCCTTGGATCGTTCCGTGTACGTGTCTTGTTACAAATATTGATAATTTTCTCCGAAGGACTGTCTTGGCGACTTACTACTTGAAAACCATTAACCCTCCGATAATTTGTGACGACTGAAATATCTTACTTTCCGTTCCGGGAACTAATAAATAAATGCCTGCGCGTCCCGGCTTTTGTTACACTACTAAGTCCATCTTTTTATCAGATATTTAGTAAAGATGACTCTTCCGAATCATGCTCCAAAAACTGGCCTGCGTTATACAGGGTGACCAAAAATCATGTCAAAATTGCCAATTGAAAAATTGCAAAATCTCGAATTTTTTTAATGCAACCCCCTGTATATTTTCATACCGTGAGATGCACAATTAAATTCTCTACAACTTTGCTATACCTGCTCTTATACCAAAATTAATTATTTTTTCATGAAATCTCATTTCTAAAGAAGAATTAGTAAATAAATAATAAAATAATTAGTAAAACTCATGGTAACTGTTTATTGACAAGTATTTACCAAACTAATAATCCAGATTTACAAAGATATCCTCGTACAAAGTGTTTTGTAAAACTGAAGGAGAGGTTTGAAAGAACAACAAATGCAAATTATGAGAAGACAAGAAGAACACACGCATGCAGTATCCAAAACAGTAAATTAACATCGTGCATTTCTAACAAAAGTAATAAAGAAATTAGTAATTAACAGGTAACCGCTCAAAATGTCTGCCAATTTTCTCTAGACATTGAGCAATTCTACGACGAAAATTNTGATTACTTAATCTATTATAAAGCTCAATCTGGACCTTGTTTCTCTTAGTAGTATTAATTCTAGAAAAGGGTTCCACAAGATTTAGTGCCTGTCTAGTATTGTGATCGTGAATGGATGAGTGAGTGGCCAGATTTTGGAGATTCTTGTGCACATGCAGCAACGTTTCAACAAATATACAGGTTTGGAAGAGGCATAATCTCTAAACTCTTAAATAGGTCTTTACACGAAGCCCAGCGGTGCAGCCTTCCGCGCAGTTACGGAGTTACCTCATAACAGGACTCCATAATTAAGGTGACTATGAACAAGAGAAAAATACAAAATTTTCATAACTGCATCACTCAGCGAAGGCCTCAGCTGCCTCGTAACAAAAATCTGCGATGCAAGCTTAGAACAGAGAGAGTCGACATGAGGTGCCCAGGATAAACCGGGATCTAAAGTAATACCCAGTAATTTCACATTATTAGACCTATTAGCTAATCTATCAGTTGTAAAATGTAAATGTTGGGTTTTAGTAAAATTCAATTTAAGTTTATTTGAAGGAAACCAGGATTTAGCCTTAGATAGACACTCTCTACTCCTATCCACACCGCCACGTGTCNTTGTAGCTTTATAGTTGCCCACTCACAAAACTGTACTCGCTTCTGAAAATCTTGCTGTGTTAAGAATTGGTGATGCTCAGAATGATAGGGGTGGAAGTTGTTTTTCTTTAACGTTCTATTAACCACACTTTTGGAAATACTAATTTCATCACTAATTTCTCTGACACTTGTAGATGGACTTTGGACTGCACATCCCAAAATGTCAATTTGACTATTCTGATTACTGCATGCGTGTGTTCTTGTTGTCTTCTCATAATTTGCATTTGCCGTTCTTTCAAACTTCTCCAGTTATACAAAAAACTTTTTATGATGATCTCTTTGTAAATCTGGATTATTAGCTTGGTAAATACGACTTGCCAATAAACAGTTAGCATGAGCTTCTCCTACGGCATATACCACATTAACTAATTTTTCTTTAGAGTAAGTCATTTCACAATTACTACTGTCGCCTTTCTATTAAACCTTATGTGAATTGAAAATTTTTCAGATTATCCTTTGACAGGAGCCTACTGCTTTATTTTACATAAAGCTATTTGTATAAACTTCGCATTATTTCATAGAAATGAGATTTCATGAAAAACTAATGAATTTTGTTATAGGAGCAGGTATAGCAAAGTTGTAGAGAATTTAATTCTGCATCTCATGGTATGAAAATATACAGGGGGTTGCATTTAAAAAATTCGAGATTTTGCAATTTTTCAATTGGCAATTTTGACATGATTTTTGGTCACCCTGTATAACGCAGGCCAGTTTTTGGAGCATGATTCGGAAGAGTCATCCTNAGCTAATCTATCAGCTGTAAAATGCAAATGTTGGGTTTTAGTAAAATTCAATTTAAGTTTATTTGAAGGAAACCAGGATTTAGCCTTAGATAGACACTCTCTACTCCTATCCACACCGCCACGTGTCAAAAGGGTCGTGTCGTCGGCAAAAATAATACACTTGCAGTCACGCATGTTGATTGGCAAGTCATTTATGTAAATTAAGAAAAATAATGACCGGAACACCGATCCATGCGGCACACCATTCGCAACGGGCAGTATAGCTGAATTACAATTATTTATATTGACAAATTGTCGTCTATTTGACAAGTAAGATCCAAAAAGTTTCAACGCTAAACCTCGGACACCATAATAGTCGAGTTTGCTAGTAGTTTGTAGTACGTCAACATTGACGCAGTCAAAGGCCTTGGTCAAGTCACAAAACGTGGCGTTCGTTATTTGACCACGGTCAAGGCCTTCAACTACTTCCTCAACAACAGTTAGTAAAACTCTAATAATTGAAGATTTCTTCCTAAAACCAAATTGAGACGGTGTCAGGATAAGGTGCTTTTCAAAAAAGGAGACGTCTATCTCTCAAAAGCTTTTCTAAAATTTTACTGAAATAGGGAACTAAAAGATTAAAAAGGGCAAACTCATAACTCGTAATCATCTAGAACGTTTCTCAATCCAAATAATTTTTTTTAACTATTTCATTTTCTTTTCCATGTTAGCGTGTAGTAAGTATTTAAAAAACTTTATCTAATTCAATATATCAGACAGAGAATCTAAATGCTTTAAACATGTATTTTTAACGTTCTATTCATGTCCATCATGGTATTTTAATTTATTTATAGTTTGTTAAATAGAAATTCCTCTCGCAAATATAACAATAATAATAAAGTTTTCGACAACCGGCGTATTATAGAAATTCATAAGTTGATTCCTTAATTATTACGGTACCTTAAAAATGACGAGAACATACTACAAGCTTGGTGATTTTTAAGTGGTGGACTCTGTAGTATACATAGTTGTTTGTTTTTGATTGGCTGTAAAATTTCATTTCATACACGAGAATAATCCATTATTATATTCTATTCTGATGAACTTGCGAGAGTACAGCCACTGTGCTTATATTACTGGATATTTAAAGAGGCTGTAAGAAATTGCAGTGTAAATCGCTAATTTGAAGGTTGGTGTTGGAGTTCCGCCATTTTCTTTGCTGTCACATTACGATGATATATTAATTTCCACGACAGAGCACGGTAGAGCGCTAATATTCAAGAAAATCATTTTTCTTGCAAGAAAATACAGACGTCTTAAAATATTAATTCTTATTAATAATTTAAATCTCACTGGATTATATATATAGCAGTAATTGAAAAATATGCATTTTTAAGAAAAGGTAATTTACTGCACTTATTTAAGGACAAATAACACATTTCTACTAATGAATTTGGGGGTGTCCCAAAAGTAATGCAGGATTTGATGCGCTATTTTCATTCCGAAGAGTTATAGTAAACACGTGTGGGTTAAACAAAATGAAGCGCTATACGACGTATGAACGGGTGAAGATTGTGAAAATTCATTACAAGTACGGAGAGTGTGCAGCTGAGACCTTGCGCAAATTACGTGGAATTTTCGGTAGCTTTGCTGCCGCTATATAATTGTACTTAAATAAATATGATTTATGATTGCTCCATGTACAAAACTGAAATATTAAATATAATATAACTTTAAGAATAACTTTATTGCTGTTGTTAGTTTAATGTCTCTGCAAGTGAGTATTACACGCTGCATAAATAACGGTATCAATCAGGACGTCTATGAAATATGGTACCACATTAGCAGGAGATATGAAATGTTATCTTAAGCAAAAAGTTTTTTAGAACAGGAGACGGAAATCCTTAAATGTTAGAACGTCATAAATGTGTACTGTTTCGAGTTACTTATTTGTAGCATTATTTTAGATTTATCTCTATTTATTTGGGTATTTTGCCACCTGTGAAAGAATATTATAAAATTAATGAAAAAATCTTTACACCAAAAGAATCAGTCAAGGGTTATTGTTGAGGAGACTAGTTTTGTCTAACCGAAAAAGGCAGAAAAATATAGGTACATCACTATATCGCGCACTTAAATAATGTTTCGAAATTCAATCTATTTTCGTTTTCAGAACTGAGAATGCTGTTTCGTTTTTAAATGTTTTGCCAGTTTAAATTTTATTTTATATGCTTCTATATCTATAAGGTATCATATATGTGTATCATATACTCTTTATTGTATTATTACTTCTTCCTTTAGTACTTGTAATCAACAAGGATCTAAGTTCGTAAAGTAATTTGACACTATTATTTCACCGTTTAAGCAAATAATCGACTAAAATTTTGAAGAAGTAAAATAATACTTTTAAAAGAGGAAGTAAGCAATAATTGGATGTAAGTCAAAATTTATTAAAAGTAAACTTCTCAATTCTGAAAATGAAAACAGATTAATTTTCGAAACATGAACAATTTATTGATGCTCACGATGTAGTTGTATGTATTTATTGTTTCTGTCTGCTTTCTGATTAGACAAAACTGGTTTTATACAACATAATTTTGACTTATGCTTTCAGTGCAAAGGTCTATTTCGTTAATTTTTTTTTAATCATAAAACACATTTTTAAAAATATTTCCAAAAAGGTTCGTTAAACTCGAATGAAACTTGATGCAGGTTTCTACATTGTCGATTACAATAATCTATTGGAAGAAGAGTTCTTTCCTTATTCAGATTGGTGTAGATGCAGAGGGCAATTAAGGGTATTCTAAAAAAATAGTTAATTAGTTTGAAAGGAACAAATGAAGTTCTTCTATTCGATATTCATAATTTGCACCATTTTAGAGAAAATTGGCACAAAATGTTTTTCTGAATTTAAATGAATCAAAATTTCTGTTAATTGCTTTGAAACTGATACGTTATACCAATTCATAAGAAAGTAAACATAAAAATGTTGATGCCAAATTTTTCCGTAGACAGCTTAAGATTTTTTCACTCAACTTCCAAAATTTCAATCGGCTTCAAATATGACAAGAAAGATTCTACTAACAATTTTCTTGATAACATTTCCTATTTAGTGTTACAATTTGGCACCATGTTTTAATTGAGCAAACGATTTCTATCTGCTGAAACATTCTACTTAAGACATTAGCAAATCTTATATAGGGTGTAACAGCGACGTTGCTATAACCGTTGAAAGTTGATTCATTTGTTTTAAACCAAAAAAAAGAAGAATAATGTTTTTCCTTACACTGTAAAAAAATCGGTGTGAATGAAAGCAGTACTGTACACAATAGTACGGAGTGAATCCACTGGGTGAAGTGATTGAGTACGTTTTCACTCAATATTGAGCATTTTGATGATTTTACTCATTCGTGATAATATTTGAACTAAAACTGAGTATTTTCACTCAAATATGGTACCCGTCCGAAGGATATATTCGTTTTTCCATAATGATGTAACCTCTGCATGACAAAATATTAGAGCAAAATAATTGACTTGTCTTTTGTCCTCTACTGACGAACTCCTAATATTGTTAGGATTTTTGCTCATCAACGTTGTAATCTACAAAAAATACTGGAAGATTACAAAATACTCTTATTGAAAACGGGTGTAAAAGAAGATGCTCTTTTGTCTCAAATAACTCTTTCTCTAGTTTAGTTGTTCAAATTTTAGATTTTTTAGTACAACGCCAACGTAGTAAAAATTTTGGTATCGAAGCGATTGCTGCAAATTGCAGTTTTTTGTCATTTCGTTGAGTGTAAACATGTGGCTTGGATTCAATGGGAAACTGATTGTTTAGTCCATTTATTTTTCCGAATAGATTGAATTCAATAGAATTTTTACGCTTTCTTGATGAGGATTTAATCACTTAAACTATGTTCGTTTCAATTTGGGACTGGACGAAGCAAAAATTGTATGAGGTTTCCATTCCTACATGAGCACAATTAAGTGAATGAAGCAGAGAAGCTGCATGTGGTATAAAAGATAGAGGGTATCGGTTGAGAAATATTCACAATCAAAATAATTGAAAATTGTTTAAACAAAAATAGCGAGCACTTTGAACAGTTTCTTTTTTTAAATATATAGTTCAAGCGAAATGAAAATACCGAGCAAAATATTAATAAATTCACTGGAGCAGTAAATCCGATAAATTTAATGAGAAAAAAATTGAATTTATCATGAAACCGTGAAAGATATGAAAACCTTTAGGAGATTTTTCTTACTCCAGTTTAAAATATTTATCGATATTATTTTAAACTTAAATTAGTTTTTTACTAGTACTTACTACTTATTTAAACTTAATTGGAGCTATAACTCATATCTTCGTAATTGATTACTTAGGCATCATGATATTGCCTGCCAACTTGATGTTACAGAGGCTCATATAGCAATTCGTACCAAATTTCTTATATTATATATTGTCGCGGTTACATTCTATATATAATTTACAAAGCAAATACAACGTGCTTACCGAATCGATAATATTAATAGAGCCCATTAATACAATACAAGTCGTTGACAGAAGCCGACGTATCATCATCGGTTCCTTAAAAGCTTTACAGCACTTGGCCTGAAATAAAATAAATATAAATGTTACATGTTTACGAAACCTCACATAACTAGTTCCTTACCAAAGCTGAAAATTCTTCGGCTATCGCTATCATTACTAAAATAAAGAACGCTATATTTTCTGTGTAGTATGTAACATCAATAGTTAGGTCACTAAAACACAAGAACATTATTAATTTTATTATTACTAGTAAATAAAATGTGAAATAGTTACTTTGGTAGTACTATAATTATAGTTGTTCCTATAGCTAGTCTCACTATCAAAAACATAAGCAGGATGAAGCTGGAAGATGACACTATGTGCAGGTGATATGACTTTTCCTTCTCTGGATCTATGAATGCTAAAGTTATTACTCTAGTGTTTTTAGCCAGCTCCCTGGAAAGAAAACGTATCGTTACAGCTAAAAAGGTACGAGCAAAATNTTACTTAACCTACGAAATTTATTAAAATTGAAACTAGTAACATTAACACCATTAAAACAATTCACGAAGTGGTTATATAATTTAATATTTAATTTATTAATCTGAGTAGTACGGATCCTAGAAAACGATAAAATCAAATTTGCCGCATTTCTGGTATTATATGAATGCACGTCTGAATGTTTTGAAAATGTATCTAGTCCACGGTGTATCTGCAGCAGACTGAAAAATATATATACTTGGTAGAGGCATAATACGAAATTTTTAAACAGTGGTAGGCAAGGGGTTCCATAAGGGGCACCCTCGATAAAACGGACCGCTACCTTTTGTAAAACGAATATCTTACTCGCAGCGTTTGAGTTGCCCCATAACGTAATACCATAGGTTAAGTGACTGTGAACAATTGCAAAATATACCGTAATACGCTTTTAGGTAAATTTAATGGTTCGTTAAATGGTAAAAATTAAATTTTGTATTATAATGAATATACGATATACCTTGCAAAAAACCTAACCTCGAAAAAGTTAAGTCAATGGAAGAGATACTAACTAGCGACCTCTAGCCAAATTTCAGTGCAATACATTCAGTTTGGAAAAGATATGACTAAAATTTGATATTAAAGAATCTTTGATGCCATATAATTCAAAAANTAATGTGAAAATATATATACAGGGTGTTCGGATAACATGTATTAGTAATCGATTTTGATTATTTTTGGGGTGTGGATTTTTGCTTTCAATCTACAAATTTTGACGTTATACAGAGTATATTTTAAAACTCGTAACTCCTTTCATAACTTTTTTCTCTTTTGGGCAATAATGACAACTATTTTTTATTTGATAGGTGATATCATTTGAAAGTTTTTGGGCCTCTTATAGAATTTTGATTAAATGAGCGGTTTGGATACAAAAGGTGAAGGGAAATGCGTCGATATAGGGTTTGGCCTACTTTACTTTGAAGGTGCGAAAAAAAAGCCAACGATTGGAATTGACATGGTTTGAAATAACAACAAAAGTAGGTAGCACAAAGTGATGCGAGAACAGTGCCCCAGCAAAAAATGTATTTTGGTTTATTGTAGGCACATGTTTTTATGTAGATTGGGTAGGTTCACCGGATCACAGCGGCTAGGTATTGTTTTGAAGACGACAATTAGCGAATGCAATAGTGCCTCATATCATTGTGACAGTTACAAATACCATAACTTTACATAACGATGGTATTGTGTTTAAGTGAGAAACAAAGAATTGAAATCCTAATTATGGTTGGATACGGAGATAGGATCCGTAGTTATGATGAAGTATGTCAATTATTCAACGTCAAGTATCCAGAGTAACCAATGCCTCCATCTACAGTATGCAGATTAGTACGCAAATTTGAAGACGCTGGACATGTTAGAGATTTGTCTAGAACTGGAAGGCCAACGATAGTGACGGAAAATGTAGGCAAAATGTTATTTTTAGCTGTCACTTAAAATCCACACACTGCCGTTCGTCCTGTCACCGAAAACGCCAACATATTAATACATAAAAACATGTACCTACAACAATCAACCAAAACACAAAACATCTACAAATTCCCATTTTTTGCTGTGGCACTGTTCTCGCATCAGTTTATGATACCTACTTTTGTTATTATTTTAATACATGTTCATTCCAATAGTTGGCTTTTTTCGCACCTGTCAAAGTAGGTCAAAGCCTATATCGACGCAATTCCCTTCAAAAGGGCTATCCATTTATGCTTAAAAATTAGGTAGTGCTATTTAAAAAAAATGTCGATGTCGTCATAGGTTTGTGAAACATAGCGCAAAAAAGGTTTAAGCAACGTGACAAAATGACAATTCCTATTTACTAATTGACATGTTTTAGCGTTTTTGTGAAAACGCAACACAAAATTAAATATGAATTTTTTGCATTACTTCTGGGACGCACTGTATATTTTTTAAATCTATACATTATCTTACCACCCATATTACAATATTTAACAAAGTGCTAGTAGGCCCTGATTTGTCACTATTGTCCGAAAGAGGAAAAAGTTTTGAACGGATATTATCAACATACATCAATTTTGTAGAATTTTTAAAAAACAAATGTGTAGATTGGAAGCAAAAGTCCACACCCCAAAAATAATCAAACTCGAATAATACGTATTTGAGTTATTTACAAAATTCAAAAATTTTTCACGAATTTTGAGGTCATCTAGCAGTCAAGCGAAGCGATTTTGGATATAGGTGAATTAGCCTAAATTTGCCTATTTTGAGTCCACAAATCTATGGTCTTCCGTTGTGCCCATTATTCTGGGACACCTTGTATGCCGTTAAAAGAAATTGATTCGCAAAATGATATTTTTTGGACTATACAGCAAAATAAATATGTGATCACTTTACTGTATTAATTTGTATTTATTTGCTTCAATCAATAATCGTATCACAAACCAAAACTTCATAGAAGAATTAATTAGAGTAACTCAATTATTGGTCCAAATTAGTCAACATAAAAATGTCAGCTGTTAATTTGCGTTATATGCAGTTGTTGAAACAAAAACTATGTACGTAGCACGTATAAAAAAATGCTTTAATGAATTCGTCTAGACATTCAAATTCGTCCGTCGGATGATTATTTTGCGTCCTTGTTACGTAATCTTCTATTTCAGTATTAAATAAATAACATTGGCGCATTCGCCAAAAAATCGAAAGTACGTAAACATGAATTCTTATTAATGCCATGAAATATAGAGTTGAACGCAACTTTTTGTTTCAGCAAGCTGATTTTATCACTATAGATGCTGAATATTATGTACAATAACATATTAGTTTCCACAGTCATAAAAATGGGGGGAAGATTGTTTACAGGGTGGTTAATTGTATAATTTTTACGTAAATTCACGTTTTTCGCTTATAACTTTTTTCCGTTCATTTCCACGAGAAAACAGTAAAGTACTTTTTTTTCGTCTTCAAAAGACCTACAAAACTAGCCCTCGAGCGTCAAAAAATATTGATTAGATCAAAAGTTATAAACAGAAGAAGTTTATTTATGACTTTTGAATTAAACATTTATAAACTGCGTTATTATTACCAGAACGTTTTGGCATCGCATCCTCTCATTCCTTATCACTGTCTAATAACTCACACGAAATCTGGAATCGGTAAGTTGAATAGTTTACAAGTTATGGCCTTATAAACAAATTAACTAATTATTAGTCTGGACGATCCCGAGCATCTTCCACAATCGCACTGATTTTTTTCATGGTAGATTTCATATTAATACATTGAAATCTATATATTTTTTTTTAATTTCAAAATTGGAAAGTTTTTTTATTTTTTAGCCATAGTTGCATTGCAAAATGAAATATACGACGCACGCGCGTGATATAGTTATATATTATTACATATTCGAAAAGCTTATGAAAAGAGCTTTAAGTTAAAAAAAAATCGTCCAAGACTCGTTGAAAAACAACGGAGTTACAGACTGTCAAATATATTATTTTCAAGCGACTTTCGCTTTTTTAACGGCAAGACTGTGAATATTATCGTCATTTTCTTCGGACTCTCTGTCGTTCGCTTGCATCCCCCACCCTTCCGCCGAGCCACGGCTCGCCGAAAATCAAGCGACCCACTGACTTTTGACAATATTTCTTATGCACTTAACATACTTCCACAATTAAAATATTTTTATCTGAGAAAGTACTCGAGTTTTTGGTTATGACAGTATTTGTTTTATCGCTACCAACCTAATTTGTTTAACAATAGGCCATCAACTTTGACAGTCTGTAACTTCGTTGTTTTTCAACGAATCTTGACGACTTTTTTTTAACTTAAAGCTCTATTCACAAGCTTTCCGAATATATAACTATATCACGCGCGTGCGTCATATATTTCATTTTGCAACCAAGGCTAAAATATACAAAACTTTCCAGGTTGCAAATTTGAAATTAAAAAAAAAATGATAGATTTCAATGTATTATTATGAAATCTACCATGAAAAAAATCAGTGTTTATAAGGCCATACCTTGTAAAATATTCAACTTACCGATTCCAGATTTCGGTGAATTATTAGACAGTGATAAGGAATGAGAGGATGCTATGCTAAAACGTTCTGGTAATAATAACGCAGTTTATAAATGTTTAATTCAAAAGTCATAAATAAAATTCTTCTGTTTATAACTTTTGATTTAATCAATATTTTTTGACGCTCGAAGGCTAGTTTTGTAGGTCTTTTAAAGGCGAAAAAAAGTACTTTACTATTTTCAAGTGGAAATGAACGTAAAAAAGTTATAAGCGAAAAACGTGAATTTACGTAAAAATTATACAATTAACCACCCTGTAAAAAATCTTCCCCCCATTTTTGTGACTATGTTATTGTACATAATATTTAGCATCTATAATGATAAATTCAGCTTGCTGAAACAAAAACTCGCAAAATGGTCATTTCCCAGCTCTCTTTCCTGGCCTTTATACCGATGCATTTCTTATGCTTACAAGTTTCATCAGAGAAAAATTTTCAGACAAAGATTACATTAATATTGTATTAATTAAAGTATTTGGAGATTATTGCACGGTCGATAGTGTACTACTAACAGAGCACATTATTATCCTTTGACACCCGATGTTTAATATACTACAAGTTTCGATTTTCCAATCCAATTGAATTTGATAATAACGGTCCAGGATATTATTCGTCATGTCGTATAAGAAAACAACTGCTACGTAGATTTCCGAAGTATTTCTAAATTTAATTTTCTTAACTTGAAAACCAACATCTTGAAAACGAAGCATTTGTCAACATATTTAGTGCTGGAATTTAACCCATTCTTTGGCAGACACCCTGTTACAGTAGGACCTTACATCATTATAATATATAATAAATTCAATCTCGCTTTTACTAAGTATGTTCTCTCCTTAAAAATGTGTACAACAAATTGTATCTACCGTAGAATACGGATCGATCCCGGAGACCTTAT